ATTTGATTTTTATAAATTCTACTTTGTAAAGAATGGACTAATGTGTAAATGATGGCTTAGCTATGCATTTTATTTTGTAGTTCCACTGCAGTTGTTCGCTGCAGCTTTCTACCATCTAAACACATTAAAATAGGACTCCGTACTACCTATCTAGCAATTTGAAAGCATGCAAGTGCAAGTTGATTAATAGGTACCACCTTGGTGGGAAGGTAACAGCATTCCATGCACCTTTGGCATATAGCCATGCTGGCTACATGTCCATGAAAAATATCTTTGGACAATGGCCAAGAAACAGAGATGAGCATCACATTCTAGAGTCAGATACAACAGGACTGGGGAAACCTTTACCATTTACCTCTACTCTTATTTGAATATATGTTTGGATATGGTTGCCAAACTATAGGTGATGATTACAATGAAACTGATGATTTCTCAAATTGCACAGAACTACAATAAGAAAAAGACTGATTTACTCTTAACGCTGGCATTATCCACTCCAATCTCACTGTCTAGCTCAGGGGTCTTCAAACTTGGCCCTTTTGTGATTTGCGGACTTCAACTCCCAGAATTCCTCAGCCAGTGTGCCTGGCTGAGGAATTCTGGAAGTTGAAGTCTACAAGTTATAAAAGGGCCAAGTGTGAAGACCCCTAATCTAGCTAATATGTGATGATACCTTGAGAAGAGCTGTCTTTAACCAAATGCACTTCATTCAATGATTTATCCGTTCAAATGTAATAAATAAATTCAATCTAGATGTAACTCTCTGCAATCTTTTTCTTGCATTTCTACTAGTAGAATCAAGAAAAGTAACTGCTTGGACTTTATTATTGATATTCTTGCGCTATATTTCCCATATGGATTAGTGGGATTGCAAGCTGTCATTCTGAAATTCCCAGCATGCTGAGGAGCAATGTTAAGACAATTGTATTATGGGAAGAATTAAGTGGCTGGTCTGAGAAAGAGACCCAGGCCTTTGGGTCAGAATGAGTAGTGTCCCCATTTTTAGAAATTGTAATATACTTCAGCAGAATTGGCCATTTATTGCCCATTTGGTTTTCATGATATGTGCTGGGTTTTTTTTGTATTTGTTGGTTTTGACTTTCTTTCAAGTTGGGAGCCATATACATGCAATAAATAAATAAATATCTTAGTGCCCTACTAGAGCAACCATTTTTCAAGGCCTCTCCCCTCTGGAATCAGCCAGAGAATTTAGAAACTAATAGAGAATATATGTAGTTTAGGGTTGAGCTGCACCTATTCTCTGTGGAGCCCTTGGTGCTCTCTGGACTTGATTGTATTTTGCAGATATTTCATTAATTGACGAGGTTGCATCTTCAGTGGTACACTACACTACAGTTCATCTGGCAACAAAAAATCTGCAAGAAAACAATAGCAATAGCCCTTAGACCAGTGGTTCTCAACCTTTTTAATGCTGCGACCCCCCAACCGGTCGTAAGTCGAGGACTACTCAACCGGTCGTAAATTGAGGACTACTCAACTGGTGCAGCACCATTTGCAGAATGGGACTTTTGGCAGGTTCAGCAGGGCAGAGACAACCTGGGCAATTCCTATTGGCTTTTGAATGCCAATAGAATTAGACTCTGTTCAAGAGAGTCTTTCAAAAGCCAATAGAATAAAAGAGAATAGCACAGCTAAGGAAAAGGGGAAAAAAATGGCGGACTGCGTTGTTTGGCGACCCCCGTGAAATGGTCGTTCGACCCCAAATGGGGTCCCGACCCACAGGTTGAGAACCACTGCCTTAGACTTATATACCGCCTACAGTGCTTTACAGCCCTCCCTAAGCACTTTATAGAGTCAGCAAATTGCCCTCTCTGATAATCTGGATCCTCATTTTACAACCTCAGAAGGAAGGAAGGCTGAGTCAACCTTAAGTTGTGAGGATCAAACTGCTGGCAGTGAGCTGAATTAGCCTGCAATATTTCATTCTAACTACCGTGCCACTATGGCTCAACAACCAAGCTCAGAGACCACCCCACAATTTAGCAACCTGTGGCTCTGTCACATCTCAAGTACATTGTTAATGAAAGGTACACTGTATAGATTTGGATTTAGGTTTTGAAGAGACACACACTCCTTTCTGGCACATGAAGCTGCCTTTTGATAAAATGATAAGCTCAGCTTCTTCCCTAATAGCAAAGGTAAATGAAGTAGTTGTAGCCAAGGATTCAAGAAAAGTCTTGTCCAAAGAATCATGTTCCAAGGAAGACTTTCTAAGTGGTGAAACAATGATTCTGGGGGGCAACCACCAAAGATCTTATTTTCGAGATCTTATAAAATATTAAACAGAAGTATTGTTGTTTTATTAAATTATTGTTTGTTCCTCCATTCTTGCCTGTCCCAAAGATCTGGTTCATAGATTGAATTTTGCAATTATTTAAAATTATCATCTTTAATCTGGAAAAGTTCCTTATTTGCATTTCCTTCTAGAGCTTATCTACAAAAGCATTTCATTTCACAGACACTGGGGACTAAAAAAAAAGGAGGACAAACCATGTCTGGTGCGTTATACAAAAATGATACACAAATCCTACTCAAATTTTCCAGTTGAGTTTTACTCATGATTTGCACCAAGGGAATAGACGCATAGCTTATGCAACTTCACCCTTCTTGCAATTTCATAGAATTATTCTCTTCTACTTCATTTTTAAAAAATTGCATTGAGAGGAAAAAAGTGTTGCTCATTTGTATCGCTGTACTGCCATTGTGTTTCTTTTTATTGGGTATGTTTTATATATTTTTCCTAAGTAAGCCTTTGAGAGTCATTTTGATTGTGGTGGCCTAGAAATATGTCTAATAAATATTCCTGGGAGAACAGGTCTCAGGTCATTTTATCAATCAAAGTCTTTTCAAAAATACAATAAAAAAATAAGCACGTTTGCTACTCTTCCACCCACATATTTCACTTTTATACTAAAATGTTTTTGTTGTTAGAAACCTTAGTTTCCAAGTAAATTATCTGAATTATTAAGAGTATAGTTATCTAACTACACTTCAGAGTAATGGTAAACAGAGGATACACACTGTGACCGAAAACAGTTTAGGAATATATTATCTGATGAGCCTGTGTTAACCCCTGTACAAGGAATATAAACACAGAATTTCTATGTGAAGACATGGGGTCTTTATCCCAATCTGGAAATAGGTAGTACAGGGAGTCAAGCAAAAGACACACCATGGAGTCTCCTCTGCTTTTAAAAAGGATTTAAGAAAGGAGTACACTTTAGGTAAATGGTGCAACACATAAAGAAGCAATTTGAATTGGCTTCTTCCAGGAAGTGTTTTATAGCTTCCCAATCTAGCCTACAACACTGGTATTTCTACAAGTGCCAAGCCTTAGACCCCACTTAGCTTTTGGGACAACAGAAGAATAGCATTAGGACTAGCCCTTAGACTTATATGCTGCTTCACACTGCTTTACAGCCCTCTCCAAGTGATTTACAGAGTCAGCATATGGCCCCCAACAATCTGGGTCCTCGTTTTACTGACCTTGGAAGGATGGAAGGATGGAAGGCTGAGTCAACCTTAAGCCGTTGAGAATCGAACTGCCAAACTGCAGGCAGCCGTCAGCAGAAGTAGCCTGCAGTATTGCATTCTAACCACTGCATCGCTAGGGCTCAATAAATGTAACAAAAGTGACAGAAACTAGAAAAGAGCAGCCTGCTTCTTCTTTTTCAGATGAGGTCCATGTGGCTTCAGAGAAAACATGGAAGGCAGGAGGAACCTAGAAGCACTGAAGGATTAGAACAGGGATCTTCAAACTTGGCCCTTTTATGACTTGTGGATTCAACTCCCAGAATTCCTCAACCAGCATGCCTGGCTGAGGAATTCTGGGAGTTGAAGTCCACAAGTCATAAAAGGGCCAAGTTTGAAGACCCCTGGATTAGAAGATGATACTGTATCAGAAATTTAACTCCTGCTTACTTTTAGTTATAGCCAATAATGAATTCCAATTCCTAACACCTATGCAACTCACATACACTTTCCAAATATACCAAGCTACACCTTTATATATGAAACATGTTCCTTTCCAAAGAGCTGTTATTATCAGGAATATTATCAGGACAAGATTCAGCAGTCCATTTGCATTTAAAAGACAAAGGCCACGCTTTTGAAGATAGCAAAGTCCACATTTTGGACTGAGAGGACCATTGGTTTGAAAGAGGGGTCAAAGAGGCCATCTATGTCAAAACTGAACAGCTCTCCCTCAACAGAGGGGGAGGGATACGACATCAGCTATCTCCAGTCTACAACACAGTCCTTTCATCAGTTCCAAGAAGGCTCCACACACATTTGCACTACTCAGATGACCCTGAAGACACAGATAAATCTCCAAGTGGCCTCAATGACTCTCTAAAAGAATGCAAATGACCAGTTGTCTGCAAGGAATATAAATCCTTCCATTCCCCACCATCCAGTCAGAGCTGAAGAAGCTTCTTGGATGAGAAGCGAAACGTCTTCGAAGAGAAAAAAGAAAGTCCAGGTGCCTCATGAAAAAGCACCTTTGGGATGTTCTTCAGTTAGACTTAGAACTGAGGAAGCTTCTTGGATGACAAGCAAAACATTTTCAAAGAAACAAACCAAGACAATCCAGTTGTCTTTTGGAAAAACACCTTTGGGACCTCCAAGGTCCCTTCCAGCCCTATGATATTAATTACTTTTATTTACATCCTGAGTTTTATTCTTAAACCACATCCTAAATATGGTCATGCCTCACTCCCCAAAAAGGCCATTAAAACTGATTTTTTTTAAATCACAGAATGACTCCCTCATTGCAAATTTTCTTTTTATCACTCCTTTAAATAATGTTGCATCACACGCTGTTTGTTTCTTCCTGTCCTCAAACTGCCCCAGAGAATCACATCCATTTTATCTAACAGAACCCCCATATAGAACAAATTACTCATATATGGCATTAGAAGAAATTAAACATGTGCACATCTATTTTAAAGTGAAATATGTTTGATATTTTCATACTTTACCAGTTATGTCATGCTGTTTGAATGACTCACTGTAGATTTGATACTGATTGGGGCAATGTTTCTTCAACCACTTGCATACATCTTGCTGTGTCCAAAGGGCCACTGGCTTTGTCAGCTTCACAATATGAAACTGGAAATATAAAATAAGTTAAACAAAAGTTAAACTGATGATTTTGCTTCCACTTCACATATCCACCTGCATTTTGTGCACTACCATGAGCCAGGATGATCAGATCCTGCAGAGCTAAATTTTCTACTTTGCATGAAAAGGTCAAGGATGAAAGGATTATGATTAATCAGATACTTCTTCATGTGGCTAACAATTAATAAACCCTGGATATTACAGATATTTCAGACTCTAAAGGCAGGTAAAGAAATCTCAAATTCAGTTCAAGTAATCATTTGAGTGATCAGCAAATATTTCCAATTCATCTCTATGGATTCTTTTTATGCCACAAAGAAATATCAGCCTTTGGAAAGCTGATCTCAGTGATGTTAACAGTTGTCCATGTAGGAGATGACCAGGCTAAGCCCAAGGGGAGGGGTCAAGCATGTCATCAGTTTGGAATCCCTTCCACCCATAAGAGATCTAAATTCAACCTTCCTTGAATTCTGTTAACTCTTATCTACCACCAATTTCCCTTGACCATTAGAAGTTCAGATTCTTCTTGAGAGCTAGCATGGAGTAAACTTGTACTCATTTGAACAATCCTGGTTCCTGATTTCTTGTGGCTAACAGTCTTCTCATCCAAGAGTCCTTGGAAATAATAGCTTTGAGAAAATGTCTGTCCATCAATTTCCCTCTGAGGTCTAGAATCTCCTGGTTCTTGCATACATGGATCTATAATCTGCCTCTATCTGTTTCACGGCACTTGGCAGAATTTGGGAGTGGTTGCCCTTGAAAAAAAGAAGCAGATTACCTTGGGACTTTTGCCTTTCCCAAACTGACAAGTAATGGCCTACTAGTCCTGCTTTTTGAAATATTGCTGCTGGGACTGCCATATCACTAAAGCAATTTTAGCTGACTAATTGGATGAGTTTTAATTCATTAGGCAAATGATCAAAGGTGACATAATTCTGTGTAGGAAACCACTCCTTTTGAGTGGGGGAATGAAGAATACCAAATGTGCCCAACTGAAAAGTTGTGTAGGACCTCCCTGCTGAGAAAAATGAGGGAGATATGTCCCCTTCTCAGACACACTTGGTATCAGCAATCTGGATTGCTGTGGAGGAGAGCCCAAACTTTGAGATGAGTTAGGCATTGATAGAGTACACCAGAGCTGTCCAACCTTGGCAACTTTAAGACCTGTGGACTACAATTCTCAGAATTCCCCAGCCAGCCATGGACACCTTTGTAGTAGACAATACAGGGCTGTTTAGAGAAAAACTCTGACTTCATAGCAAGGCAGTTTCCTTTGATCCTGACTTACCAAAAACATGAGTGAAAGACAAATGGGTGAAGAAGTCAAAGTAAAATCATCAGGGCACAATAATAACAATAGCAATAGAACTTATATACTGCTTCACAGTGTTTTACAGCCCTCTCTAAGCAGTTTACTGAGTCAGCATATTGTCCCCAACAGTCTGGGTCCTCATTATACCGACCTCAAAAGGATGGAAGGCTGAGTCAACCTTGAGAAAAATCGAAAAAGCAATGAAACTATAACTATGGGAAGTTGCAGAACCATAAGATTTAAGAAAGAAAGGTGTAAAGGCTTCAGGAAGCTTGTGGGGATGGAGGTGATTAGGGAGGACTAAGATGTAAAGGATATTTTATGGGGGGGGGAGTTGGCAATGCTTCATTGACCACCTTGCCCCAGAACATCTTCGCAAGCTCCTAGCCAATCTTGGTTGATCTTGAAAAAATGAACAGAATCAGATCTGGTTAATACAAGGTGGGAGACCATCCAAAAGTCTTGGGGCTGTACGTTAGTCCGTGAAGTCAGGAAACGTTCATAAAGAAAGCAATAGCAACCCATTTTTGGTTGCTGCCACTGAGAAATGTCTCTGGCAACCTGGCTAAAGGATTTAAAGTTGAGGGTCAGTGATTTACAGCCAAGTGGTGGTCCTGGCATTCTAGCCATAGCCAAGAACACTGTATAAGAGTCTGGATTTAAAATTGACTCAAGAGTGCTTTTACCTAATCTCAGATCACAAAAGATTATGAAAATGAGTGCCAGCATATAAATTTGTGCGCAGAAATGGACCAGCAACCAGCATAATTGTTTAAGAATACTAAACAGGTTCCAATGAGTGCTTAGGGGATGATAGGGAACCATGCCAAAGGACTAAGTATGGGATTCATGTTCACAAGTCTATTTGGGCTGGATTATAGTATTTTGTAGATTAAAGCCATGGAGCAATTAAGCTCCTCTGCAACATCATTATTAAGAGTCCATTTAGCACTTCCTGTTTCTTCTTCTTCTTTCCTACATGTGGCAGTTAGAGGAACAAACTTCTTACTTTTAAAGGGAGGCAAGATTCATAATGATGCACATAAAGAAATCATCTCTTTACAAAACAGAGCCACACCTTCCTACAAAGCGGTTGCCAAATGATATGAATTATTGCTGCATTAAACAGCGGGAAGAGGGTGGTCACTGAATATGTAACTGAAGTTGCCAACACATGTAGATTTAATAGTGGAAGAACTCATCTAAACAGCCTGATTTCCACAGCATGAAGACACCACACTTACAGTTGCCAAGAACATGTCCTCAAAACAATGTCTCCATCTCATAAACAAGTTATTATTTAAACAATGTAAAACTGGTCCAAAATGTACCGGCCCAAAGATGGTATTTTCCCAGTTAATATAACTGGAGATCTGTCATGTGATATTCTAAGCCACATACAAGAGTTATCTTGGGTGGTTAGAGACCTGCAGGACTCCAGCAGGCCCCCACAGTAGGATTGTTTACTCCCATCTACCTCCAAAATAACAAATTTTGCTGTAGCTGCCCTACAGTCTTCTGCTGTTGTCCTATGACCTTTTTTCCACCAAGGAAATGCTTTGTAGTCACTGTAGACAATGTTATAGAAAGCAACAGTTACTGAATGACAGATGCACAGCCTCTTCCACAGCTCTTCTAGCCTACAAAAAAAGCAGTCAGAACCTGGAGATTCCAAAGACTTCAGTATAGAACATGGAAGAGAGGATCTTCTCTCCTGTCAGTGACCTGAAAGTGCACCCATTGAGTACATGGGATTCCCTGTCCCAAGGCTGAAATCTCAGTGAAACAAACAAGCCAAGCCAAACCTGCCATCCTGCCCTTTCTTTGAAAAGAAACCAAGATGGGTAACACAGACATTTTCAACTTCTGGGAGAAGGTCCCATTTAAATGCAAGCCTGGCCTCAAAAGCTAAGATCAAATTTGTTCCAACTGGTCTCCTAAATGAGAACCAGTTTGGTGCAGTTCCTAAGGCACTGAGTTAGAAACTGGGAGACTGTGAATTCTAGTCCTACCATAGGCACAAAGCCAGCTGGGTGACCTTGTGCCAGTTCTCTCTCAAGCCCAAGGAAGGAGGCAATGGTAAATCACTTCTGAAATATTGACTACTTCAGGGAACTAGTTCAGCCAAGAACTGAAGTAAAAGCAAAGACACACATGGACGTGCATGTACACACAGACACACAAAAAGTTTCTTAAACTGACTTGTGAAACTTGTACTATAATGGACATCTAACATTAGAACTATCATTAAAAAGCCACAACAAAGAAAGTTCTTTCTCCATCAACTCAGGACTGCAGAAAAAACAATTGCAACCAGCCTGCCTACCACTAAGAACCTGTATACTGCACACATCAAAAGGAGGGCTGAGAAAATATCCACAGACCCCTCACATCCTGGACATAAAATTTTTCAACTCCTCCCCTTGGGATGCTGCTATAGGGCATTGCATGCCAAAACAACTAGACACAAAGACAGCTTTTTCCCCATGCCATCATTCTGCTGTAAACCTAATTATCACAGTACTGTCTTATTTCTAAGGATATTTACCCATGTAGTATGGCTGTATAACTATTATCCTTCTCATCTTTTCTACTACGTTCTCCTATTAGAGAACCCTAACCCTTATTATTATATTACTTTGTTGTTTGTATGTACAGTGAGAAGTTATGCACTGGAGACAAATTCTTTGTGTGTTCAGTCACACTTGCTCAATAAAGCTATTCTATTCTATTCTATTCTATTCTATTCTATTCTATTCTATTCTATTCTATTCTATTCTATTCTATTCTATTCCATTCCATTCCATTCCATTCTATTTGTTGTACTGCCCCAACATCAACAATCTCATGAAACTTTTTTTTCCCTACATAGAATAAGGAGAGACTCATGAAATGGGGATTAAATGCTTCCAAACTCCATGCAAGAGAAACAAATTTATCACCCAATTTATTCCTCTCTTTGTGCATACAACTTTTAAATGTTATTACTTTTACTGTTTCAATTTATTGTATAGTGACTCATTAGTGTCCCATCATCATTGTTAATGCTGTAATTTTAAGCAGCTACTCCGTAACTATCTCTTAATCTATTATGGGACTTTAAATTATAAACTATTCTTGAATCAGACGCTGCAGTCAAATTAATCATTCTGGACCACAATGTTGCTTGAAATCCTTTTTGGGAGGTCAAGTTATGCTAGACAGATAATATATTCTGATGATATTTACCAAACAACCCATGCTAATTTCTTGCTTTCCTAATGTGCCCATTTCAAGATCTAGCCGTGAACTGTGTGCTGCCTCAAATTATTATCCTCATATTAAAACCCAGTGTTTTCCATCTTCTGTTAATTTTATTCAACTTGTAGATTCTGCACATTGCGTAAACAACAGATAATACCATGATGAGCAAGCATTTCCTCAGCTGTATACAGTCAAGGTTATTTTTAATCAGGCTATGCAGTTTACTTGCAGTATTGATTATCTGAATTTCATACATCAGGTTCATGAGAAGATTTAATTGGATTGATTTCTTGCTCAGAGGTTCTGGAGAACATTAAGTCTTCTTAGGCTTCAGTTCTTTTCAGCCATTTATTTTTTTTATCGTTTCCAGTCGATATTTTGCTGCTAAGCAGCTGTTACACAGCTGTCAAATGGTCCCCTCCCCCTTAAACTG